TGGGGGACATTTTAGATGTAAATCATAACGTGGTTTATCATTAAAATTTTTTTAAATACAAGAGCTGACAACTCAGTGAAATCCTTTTTCAGTTTTGTTGATAACAATGAGAACAATAACAACAAATTGGAATTATTGATCTTTCAAAATATTTCTGAAATTGAAGTAATTCACTGTTTCAACTTCTGGGAAATTGTCTACCAAAGGATTTACTAGAATTACCAAATAGCACTTAAGAGTCTGTTGTTCTTCACTTAGAGGTTCTAAATTTAATTTAAGATTTCTTAAGGTCTGGGAAAGTGAAAACATTGGATAAACTTTATTGTTATATCTTTTTTATTATTTTTTAAAATTTTTAAAATAATTTTATTGAGAAATAAATGGCAATGAGACAGTGTCAAAACAAATTAGTAGGACAGTTTCAATAATTAATACATTACATATTGTTGTCTTCTTAGTGGCTATTCATTGTACAAGATGCAGATATGATATCCTGTCCACAAACACTATTAGTACAAATCTTTCTTCTCATTAAATTAAGAGAGAGTAGCTGTATATCTATCCTATTTTGAATATACAGATGCATAATGGTCCTTCATTTGTATCCCCTTTTTGTTTAGTTTTTTCAGAGAAGGGTATTTCATTGTCACTTAAATATTGTAGGTGCATGAATTCAGCAAAATATTCTAATATAGTCTAGTAGTCCATAATGGTAGGTGAGTTATCTATAGGACTGGCAATGTCAGAAGTTGTTGACTTGATCCTTTTACAGCTGACCGTATACTTTGAGCACCTTCACAGGTTGAGATGGTACAATTCAGGCCTGAGAGCAAACCAACAAGTCACCAACTCAGCCCTACTTTGGGGAGTCCTTGCTGGCTGACTCCCCCTGTGCTATGCTCTCTATGTTTCCTTGGACTGCTTGAACCTATAATGTGATGATCTTGAGCACCGCACAGGCTCTCCAAGGATGGCTTCGCTGATCTCATCCCTAACTCGTACATTTGATGAGCATAATGCTTACTTCTTGACCGCCATCATCTACTTTCTTCTTTTATTTTTTAAAGGAAATAAATAGATAGAAAAAATGAAAACAACATTAGAAACAACACAGAGTTTCTTTTCTTTTTTTTTTTTTTGTGGTGGAACCAGGGATTGAACTCAGGCTCTTGGACTTGCCAAGGAAGCACTTATTCCACTGAGCCATCTCCCCGGCCCCCCAACACAAAGTTTCACTAAGCAAAATAATAGGAATTCCACTGTGGTTGTTACACTGCATAATGTTGTCTTCAAATTAGTTGCTTAGATTACTGGATATAAGCATACAAAAGTGGTATACAAAAGTTATAATAAGTTTATTTATCTATTTATTTTTAAAAATTTTTAAAATTTTTTTCCATAATTTTATTGACAGACAAATAGCAATGAGACAGTTTCAAATCAAATTTGAACTGTAGGACAGTTCCATCAATTAACACACTGCATACTGTCTTCCTAGTGATTAGTTGCTATACAAGATACAGTCATGATATCCTATCTACAAACACTATTACAACAAATCCCTCTATTCATTAAGAGAATGTAACTATATATCTATCCTAACTATTTTGAATACACAGATGCAAAATGGACATTCATTTATATATCCCCTTTTATGATTAGTTCTATCATTTGAATATTATGGGTGTGTTAACTCAGCAAAATATTCTAAAAGAGTCTAGTAATCCATAGTAGTACTGGGTCTTCCGCTTGACTGGCAGTGTTAGAAATTGTTGACCTGAGTCCTCTACAGCTCAGCATAACAACATGGCTTTACTTCTTGTACTTTTTTTTTTAATACTTTTCTG